TGGGGGGGAGCAGTGCTGCAGGGAGGGGGTAGGGGGCTCTGGTGGGTGGCGCTCTCCCCTCAGGTGGGGCTGACCCTGTTGCTGAGCAGCAGGGGGTTGCTGTTTTCCAAAGCTGTGGTGTACAGGCCACATTCAATCTGGGTGATGGCGTGAATCCTGAATTCCCCCTGCCCATTGGATATGGGCTCCCCTGCCCTTCCTGGCCTGAGCTGCTGTGCTGTGTGGCTGCTGACAGTGGTATGTCCCGCCCCAGCAGTGGCTGCATTTCTGCAGCAGGCAAAGTGGTTCTTGTACAGAGAGGCTCAGTCCAGCCCCCTTGCTGATCTGCTGGGATTTGCTGTTGGTTTCAATAGAAGCAGGAGGCAGCCCAAGCCTGGGACCCCATCCTCCTCCTCGCTCCGGTGGTGCGAGGTAGATGATAGACTGGGGGGAGGGGATCAGGTTGACCGTGGCTGGAGGCAGCCCTGGGGCAACTGCAGCCCAGCAGTAACTGCAGCAACCCCCAGCTTGTGCCTCAGGGCCACAGGACAAGGGCCCCCTGCCACCAATGCATCCAGGGCTCTGGGCTGGGAATCACTGCGCCAGGAGCCTTAGGACCAGTCAGGCTGCAGGGCTGTCCCTGCCCTCCCCCTCCCCCAGCGCCTCCAGAGACCCATGATGCCTGAAATCTCATTGCGTCTGTACTGCACTGTTGGTCACTTCCCTGGAGTGCAGTCCCCGTCCAATGTGCCAGCTCCGGGGTCCCGACACAGCCTGGGAACAGCTAATGGAACTGCCGCCTCACCCAGTGCAGGCCACTCTGCCCATCCTTGAGCCAGTGCTCACTGTACAGTACCCAGTGCCCATTCCAGGGGCTCGGGAATCTAGGCCTGTCCTTCCCCCCCCTGGGGCTGCCCCCCTGTGCCCAATCCAGGGGCTCATGAATCCAGGTCCAGTTTATATTATCCATATTTTAAATGACTAGTTGCTGGAGCTGGACAGTCAGAGGGAAACCATGGCCTGGATTTCAGAGTCCCTCTGGACTGTAGCCCGCTCCTGGCCAGGCTGGGTCTCCTGGTGTCTGTGCAGCACCTGGCACCGTGGGGGTCTGGATCCTGGCAGGGCTCTGGTCACTCCTGCAATGTGCATATGTAAGGGTCCCCCCCCCCCCCGACTCAGAACTCTGGGGTACAGATGTGAGGACCCACATGAAAGACACCCCCCCCCAAGCTGATATTTTAACAGCTTAGATTAAAACTTTTCCAAGGCACAAATCCCTTTCCTTGTCCTTGGACTGGTATTGCTGCCACCACCAAGTGATTTACACAAAATATTCATGGAAGGGTCACTTGGAATTCCTATTCCCCCTAAATATACCCCCAACCTTCACCCCATTTCCTGGGGAAGCTTGAGAATAATATACCAACCAATTGCCTTAGCAATGTGAGCACAGACCAGATCCTTTGTCTTCAGGACCCTGAAATCAATCAGGTCCTTAAAAGAATAACTTTATTTATAAAGCAAATAAATAAAAGAACCACACCTGCAAAATCAGGATGGAAGGTAACTTTACAGGGTAATAAAAAGATTAAAACCGAGAAGATTCCCCTCTGGGCTCAGCTTCACAGTTACAAAAAAAGGATTAAAACTACCCCTGTAGCATAGGAAAATACATACAAGCCAAAACAAAAGATAACCTAAAGCATTTCCTTGCCCTACTCAGTTTCTGTGGTTTTTAGATGGATTATTCCAGGTATATTTTCAGGAGATGTTGTACCTGCTTGGCTTCTCTCTCTGGAGAGAGAACAACAACACACTTTCAAATCTGGGGGGGAAAGATATCTTCTTTCCTCATTGGTCCTTCTGGTCAGGTGCCAACTAGGTTATTTGAACTCCTTAACCCCTTACAGGTAAGGCAATCCAGTACAGCGGCCAAGGAGGTATTTTATGCTACTGCATACATAAAGGTTGCTACCCTTCCCTCTATATTCATGACAGCATGTGACACTGCGAGAGCTGTAGCCAGTGCCTGCGTCCCAATCCCCCTGCAGCTCTGATCCCAGCCCAGCAGCAGCTCCTGGGCCCTCTGCGACACAACCCAGCCCTGCCCTGCCGTGGGGCACAGTGACACGGCCCTGCTGTGGGGCCCTGCTATGGGGCACAACGGCACAGCCCAGCAGTAGGGCACTGTGCTGTGGTTTCACCCTAGGGACCAGAGGGAGTGGCCTGGAGATCCAGAGGCTGTGGAGCTCCTGGGGAGAAGAGCTGATTTGGATAAGTTTCAGTCTTGCCCCTTCTGGGCCTTCCCGCCTCGTCTGTCCCTCGTTAGCCAGGGTGTTGCTGGTTTTAATCCCACATTCTCCCCAGGGCACTCGGGAACAGCATTGTGGGAGGGTGCCCGCTGTATGCTGAGTTACCTACACAGACTCCTATGTGGGGCTGTTGGCGCACGGTGAGCAAAGACACATGGCCAGCTGCTCCTTCAGCTGCAATCCCAGAGGGGCTGCAGTCACCATAGGCCCTTAGAATAGAGCCTGGGGTGCATCGGCCCCCTGGGGGTCTGTGTGGGTGACGCATCCCCCTCTGCGCCTCAGATGGAGGTGGCACAAATGCTGCCAGTTGCTTCAGTGGGATTCCTGCAGG